AAGTTAGTGCGTGATAGTGCTGGGTTATATGGAGGAGAGAACAGCCTTTAGGAGTGGAGGCTTCCTGTGCCCACATATTCCTGGAATCCTCAGATGGAATTATTACACTTTCTTACCCTCCATCTTGACCGGAAACCAAAACGTCTTAAGGAGAGTGAGAAAAGAGGGAGAGGAGGGAGAGAGAGAGAGAGAGAGGGGGGGTCCAAGGGTTGAGTTCAGTTATATATTTATCATTTATCTTATTTGCTGTCACTTTATAGGACGCGTGCCGGTGTGTGTGTGTGTGTGTGTGTGTGTGTGTGTGTGTGTGTGTGTGTGTGTGTGTTGGGGGAGGGGGTAGCTTGTTCATGAGAGAGAGAGAGAGAGAGAGAGAGAGAGAGAGAGTGTGTTGGCTACAAAGGGTTGACTGAGAGGTCCTCCATTCACATGCACACACACACACACACACACACACACACACACACACACACACACACACACACACACACACGCAAGCAGTGATCTGAATCCTTAGAGGAGAGTGATCTTTGGGCTTTCGTCCCCTTAATATCTCTAAAAGATAACAATACGACCCTTTGCTTATAAGCCAACAAGCGTAGAGTGTGGTGGGTCCGTAGTGGTAGTCGTATGGTAGTCGTCCGTAGGTGGTAGTCGTACTTAGGTGGTAGTCGTACTTGGGTGGTAGTCATACTTGGGTGGTAGTCGTACTTGGGTGGTAGTCGTACTTAGGTGGTAGTCGTACTTGGGTGGTAGTCGTACTTGGGTGGTAGTCGTTGGTAGATAGTCGTGTATGTGTGGAGGTTCTCAGACGATTTCCCAACACTTAACCAAGTCTTACAAGTACTGCACCAATGGCTGTCAGCAATCTTTTCCTCCCTCCTCCCTCCCTCCCTCCTCCTCCCTCCCTCCCTCCCTCCCTCCCTCCCTCCCTCCCTCCCTCCCTCCTCTCTCGCTCTTATTGCACCATCGCCGGGATTAACTAAATGGTGACAGCTTATCGCAGTTCGTTGTCCCAGTAAGAATGTCAAGGTAGCTTCTCTTAAATCTAAAGACAAGCGTTAGCAGCCATTACATTTGGTCCTAACAGCACTTTGCGGGGACCGGATGTGGACAAGGACCTCCACCCATGTTTGTGAAAGTTGGTAACCCCTGCCTCGCCTCGCCTCGCCCCCCTCGCCTCGCCCGCTCGCCCTACTCGCCCGCCCGCCCACCCACCCACCCACCCACCCACCCACCCACTCACCCACCCACTCAGTGACCATTTTTAGCACGGCACACAATTCGAAACAAGATTACTTCATGTTTTGCCCCCATCTCTCTTTCTCTCTCTGTCTCTGTCTCTCTCTCTCTCTCTCCATCTATTTCTCCCTTCACTCCCTTTCTCTCCCAGTTCCCCGCCTCCTCCTTTCTCTTATCCTACCCACCCCTCCCTCCCCTCCAACCCACTCCCACTCACTCCCACCACCCTTCACTTCCTCTCAACCCGGCATGAGAACCTGAAAACTTTGTATTCGTTTTTGCAGAGGTTTTATGAGTGTTTTTATATTAGGTTTTTGGGTTAGGTTAGGTTAGGTTAGGTTAGGTAGTATGGTTAGGCTGGTTAAGGTTGGTGGTTGAGTTTGTTAGGTTAGGTTAGGGGTCACGTCATCTTCCCTTCCAAGTATGTAAACAGCTGATCAATGTAAACACACAAATACCTAATCAGCTGATCAATGTAAATATTCCTATGTAATGAACTTATTGATGTATATATTACCTGTACCACCTTCACCACAACTACCACCCTTACTACCACAACTACCACCCTTACTACCACAACTACCACCCTTACTACCACAACTACCACCCTTAACTACCACAACTACCACCTTACTACCACAACTACCACCTTACTACCACAACTACCACTCTTACTACCCAACATACCACCCCTTAACTACCACAACTACCACCATAACTACCACAACTACCACAACTACCCTTACTACCACAACTACCACTTAACTACCTAACTACCACCCTTACTACCACAACTACCACCCTTACTACCACAACTACCACCCTTACTACCACAACTACAACCCTTACTACCACAACTACCACCACCTCCATGAATGAGATATGAACTACATCTCACTACCACCCTCAACCACCACTATACCACCTTTCCGGTCACAAGGTACCCCATTAACCCCCCTGCCCCCCTCCCCATTCCCCTTCCCCATTTCCGCTAACCCCCCTCACCCTCCCCCCTCCCTACATCGCCTTCAAGTTCATCCTATCGATAAATTTTGAGAATATAACCAAGACAGAACCCGGAAATTATCCCTCCCACTCCGTAATTATTCTGTTAATTTATCGACAACAGAACCCGGAATTATATCTCACCTCAAGGTTATAATTTGAATGATTTATCCCGAAACAGAACCCGGAATTATCAAAACCATCTGCTCGTGATAATTTGTTAAGTGATTACTCGAGTATTATAGAATCTTGAGTGTGATTTTTGAATTAGAATTTGATGATATATCTGGGAAGAGGAGGAGGAGGAGGAAGAGGAGGAGGAAGAGGAGGAGGAGGAGTGGTGAGTGTCCTTGATCACCCAAACGAAGAAGGGAAAGAGAGGAAGCAAGAGGAGGAGGAGTAGGAAGAAGAAGAAGACTTGCCCAAAGCCTCCTCACAAGAAGAAGAAGAAGAAGAAGAAGAAGAAGAAGAAGAAGAAGAAATAACACCAACATGAGGAAGAAGAGGAGGAGGAGGAGGAGGAAGAAGAGGAAGAGGTCCCGTTGGTAGCAG